TTTTTTTTGTATGTCTCATGCAGGCAGATTCAGAAGGATCAAGAGTTTGAGGCCAGGGCTGAGGCCAGCCTGGCCAATCTGAATGATTTAGCAAGAGCCTATCTCAAAATAAAATTTGAAAAAAGGGATGGGGATATAGCTCAGTGGTAAAACACTCACTCAGCATGCCTAAAGCCCTGGGTTCAATCTCCAGTACTAAAGATGAAAAGAAAAGAAAAAGACCAGATAAAAATATACATCTTAATTACTACTAGAAAGTGATTGAGCACAGAATTAAAGAACATCACAATCATTTGTTTTCTAGGTATTGAAGGTTTTGTTTGATAGTAAAATGGTATCTATTAAAACTGATCTCACCAAAATGCATTGGAAAAGTCCATTCTATCTTCCCAAGTTCTAACTGCTAGGCTCATCAAACTGATATTTTCCCTTTGCACACGATGATGAAATTTACCTCAAGTCATCCCAAACAACTCTTCCCTCAATTTTTGCTTATGTAAATGCCAGTCACCATGAGAACAACAAAAAATACTGCTGTTTGCCAGCGGCTCATGCTTGTAATCCTAGCTACTCAGGAGGCAGAGATCAGGAGGATCACAGTTCGAAGCCAGCCCGGATAGTTCAAGAGATCCTACCTTGAAAAAAACCTATGACATAAAAGGGCTCGTGGAGGAGTGGCTCTCGAGGTGTAGGCCCTGAGTTCAAACCCCAGTACTGCAAAAAAAAGAAATAATAAAAAAAGTCTGCCCTCCATCATGGCAGAGCTTGCTAAGGAACAAGAAACAAGTAGCAGACATTGACCTCATCCCACAGGCAGCCCAGCAAGGCAAACAAGAAACTGGGGCAATTTGCTATTCAAAAGAAAAAGTGAAAGTAGAAGGAACACTTTAATTCTATTGGGAGAAAAGTTCTGACCAAAGAACTTAAATAAATCATTTCATCTTGCTACATTGTTTTTTGGGGATAGGATTTGACATTCTCTTTTTCTCTTGTTATATCACAAGGCTCCAGAGACACAGGTCAAGTCTACATCCAACTTACCTTGACATGAGGATGGGGTCATGCTCTTAACAGAGTAAATTCGCAGAACCCACCCGTTAAATTGCATAGTTGCGCTATTGGGGACAAAACTCTGGGCCTTGTGCTCTACCACTTGAGCCATACCCCCAGTCCTTTTGCTTTTTATTTTTCAGATACAGTCTCCAGTTAACTTAGCCCAGGCTGGCCTCAATCCTCCTTCCCTTGCCATCCCCCTCCTATCCCAGTAACTGGGATTACAGGTGTGCATCCATGATCCATGCCCAACCCTAATCATATAATCTTAAACATACATTGTTTGTTTGTTTTTTATGGTACTGGGGTTTGAACTCAGGGCCTGGTAACTTGCTGGGCAGAGGCTCTAGCACTTGAGCCACACCTCCAGCCCTTTTTAGTTACTTTATTGAATGTTCCTTTTTGGAGGCTATAATACTGAAATACACTAAAAGACCTAATGAGAAGGGGGTAAGAGGTAATTACTGTGAATAATGTTTGGGATATGTTGAACTCCTTACATTATAGTAGTATTATAAGCAAGCAAAATAACTTGGAGATAACCTTAGTATTCTGGGTAATGGGACTCAGCCTTTCTGATAGTATGGCTAAAGCTAAGGACTCAAATCAGATAGAAACCAGTAAGCAGTCTTCATTGTACAAATACAGCTTCCTCTAAAGGACAGTCACCTCCTCTTGTGTGGAAAAGAAGGGAACTGGACAGAGGTCTCAGAAGCACCCAACCTCCTGAGACCAGGCTGGGACAAGCATTTCATGTTTCTGCAACAGAAGGATCTTCTAAAGTGGATTTCACACTGACCAGTATTAAAATGAACTGAGTCGTTGAATTTACATAGGACCAGCACCATGCCCTACTGAGGAAAATGTTATTCATTCAACAATACTTCTTGTGTGTATTTTTGTGGTGCTAAGGATCAAACCTAGGACCTTGTGCAAGCCCTCTGCACCCTCAGCCATCAATAATATTTCTTGTCTGCTATTAGCCAGACTCTGTAGATATAAAGTCAGGCATTTGAGTGGTAGAGCACTTGCCTAGTTAAGTGCCAGGTCCGGGTTCAATCCCTAATAAAACAAAAAGACAAAACCACCCTACAGTAGCCCAGTTATCCAGCCCTGTTTATTTATTATATCCTTAACACAAAATTCACTTTCCTCTCTAATAAACACATTCCCAGCACAAAGGAGAAACTCTCAGACCTCAGGACTCCTCTTGGGGTTGGGGATTTAGCTCAGTGGCAGAGCGCTTGCCTGGCAAGTGCAAGGCCCTGAGTTCGGTCCCCAGCACCAAAAAAAAAAAAAGGAAAAAATAGGACTCCTCTTGCCTACTTAGAACCTTGGAGCAGCTATCAGTCCCATCAGCTTGATAAGAGGCTAGAAACTCCACCCGATTTTACGAAAGGGAACAGAGGAGCTTTTAAATAAGTCTACCACCATGTTTAACATACAACTATTCTTCCTCCTCCAGAAAGCTAAATTGTCCCAATCTCATTTGAGGCAGAATTCAGTTGATCCAAGCCAGTTTCTTTGATCATTCAGTAAACATTTGAGTATTCACTTTGCTAAGATTCAATGCTGGACTAGAACCTAAGTAAATCAGGCCAAGTACAGAAGCACTGAAAGCATCCCCAACCCAAAGCCTGCTGGGTGTGCATTAGTTTTGCTGCTTTCCAACTGTATCCCTGGAAGATTCTCCAGCGCTGCTTTTTTCAAAAGCTCACTTCTTGATGGCTACTTTTATTTCTGCATGTGACTTTCTTTTTGGTACTGGGGCTTGAACCTACCCTTGAGCCACTCCACCAGCTGATTGTGTGTGTGTGTGTGTGTGTGTGTGTGTTTGTATGTTGGGTTTTTCTGAGACAGGGTCTTGGGAACCATTTGCCCAGGCTGGCTTCTGAACCGGAATCTTCCTGATCTCTGCCTCCTGAGTAGCTAGGATTACAGATGTGAGCCACCAGTGCCTGGCTGCATGTGATTTTTTTGGAGACAGGGTCTATGTATGTACCTCAGGCTGGTATCCTGCCTGTTTCCCAAAGTGCTGGGATTACAGGCATGAACTGACATGCCTGGCTCACTTCATTCTCTTTACATCATGAGGGGCAACAGAGGTCCAAATTCTCAGCCCATCCACATCCCCTAAATTTAGGGCTATTTTCACTACTTCTTCTATAGAAGCACCCTCTCTTCACATCTATAAAATGAGTAAAATTTAATCTGAAGGTCAGGGTCACAAAATACAAGAAATATGAGCCATATGAGCACTCTTAAGACTATGAAAAGGAACCTAACATTCAATATAATAAAAAAAGTTTTCGGCAATGTATTTATTTTTTATTTTTGGTGGAACTGGGGTTTGAACTCAAGGCTTCTCACTTGCAACGCAGGCACTCTACCATTTGAGCCATGCCTCCAGTCCTGGTAATTTATTTGGAGATCACCTTGGAAAGCTTATTCATGCTCAATCTGGATTGTTTTGAAGTAATTTCCTTTAACTCTGTGTTGACACACTGAGTTGATAGCAGTAACTAGATGTTGTATTGAGTCTAAGGCAGAATATTGTGTTAAAAAAGGCAAAATTGTCCCTTACTTAGTTTAGACATGATCTTGCTATATTGCCCAGGCTGGTCTCAAAATCTTGGGCTGAAGTGATCCTTGCACTTCAATTTTCCTAGTGCTGGGACTACAGGCACCCACCACTGTGCCTGGCTTGTCTGTTTAAAAAAATTTTTTTGGGGGGGCTGGCTTGTCCTTTTTAAAACATTACTCACAGGTCACAAATCTATAGAGTGGGGCTGGCAAAGTGGCAGACTGCTGGCCTCGCAAGCACAAGGCCTCGAGTTCAAATCCAGTAACTAAAAAGAAAACTATAATGTATGCCGACCATATGTGTTTATGTCCACAGACTTGTGTGAGAAACAATGGACAAGAACGAATTAATGTTTAGTTTAATCTACTTTTTTGTTATTAGTTGCATTACTTTCTCTGAGCATGCATTATTTACATAAGGAGAAATCTATGCCACATTTTAAAGATCTGTTATGTAAAATTCAAATTTCTCTTTTGCTCTACAAAGCTCCCTACCGTGTTCTCATTTTCTTATTCCCAAATATACCCATTTCTGGACAAGTCTGACGTTCTCAGTCCAAAATATTCTACCTTCCTGCATTTTTTGTCCTTTTGATGGGACTGGGATTTGAACTCAAGAGCTTTGTGCTTGCAAAGCAGGCACTCTATTGCTTGAGCCAGTCCATTTTTCTCTAGTTATTTTGGAGATTGGTCTCTCAAACTATTTGCCTGGGCCAACCTCAAACCTTGCTCCTCCCAAGTAGGTAGGATGACAGTCATGAGCCACTGGAGGCCAGCTAAAATAATTCTCTTTATGTTCCCCTCAAATTAGTATTTCATGATTTCTGGAAATTCTTTAAAATATCACCAATGATTAACCCCATCTTTAGTAAGTATCCACACTTATATAATTGTTTATCTGATATTACTGCTCATGGACTGCTGAAGGCACATACTTCCTATTCCCTATATAATTGAAGACTTAGCACTTTTACTAGGTATACTATACTAGGTATAGTAGTACATATATATAATACCAGCTCTCAGGAGGCTGAGGCAGGAGGACTGATTCAGCCTGAGCCACATAGAAAGATCCCGCCTCAAAAAACCTGGGGGCTGGCAGGATGGCTCAAGTAATGGAATATCTACCTAGCAAGCATGAAGCCCCAAGTTCAAACCCCAGTACCTCCAAAAGAAAAAAAAAAAAGAAACGAAACACCAAGAGCTGGGGATAAAACTTAGCAGTAAAGTGCTTGCCTTATTGGTACAAGGCCCTGGGTTTTGATCCTTAGTATTGGGGGAAAAAAAAAAAAAAGATTAAGTTCTTTGTTGACAAATACTCAAAGATTACTTTCTTCAAAAGATCACCAAGCCAAATATTTGGCCATATTTTTATTTACTACATATACTATAAACATATACAATACATGCTACAAAACAAACCGTTTTTTAAACTGTCAAGAAAGTGGATAGTGTTATAATACAATGGCACATGTTCGTATTTTATTTCAAACTGGTTTGCTTATCACCCATTTCAAACCATTAATAGTGAAATGTTACCTGTGGATAATTAAAAATTATCTATTTGCATTATTAACAATAAACAATTCCAACAAATTAATAAGAATTAACCATGTCAAACATTAGTATTAAAAAAAAATGGGCTTTTGCAGAAACGATTATATAAAATATAGCAGCCAATTTCAGTTTACTTTGCTCTGTGACAATGTAAATATGCACTTGAACAGGACTCTAGCATTTGCTTTTTTGGGGGAAAATACTTATAAGAAGTCCTTCAATTTACTGATGTCCAATAACTGCTCCCCCAGCCAAATCCAACCCAACAGTTCATGTAATGGCTTCGAACAACTGGTGACTGAGAAATCTTACCATCTGAGTAGAGCTGCACATTACATTAGTATTACATAGGATGAAGAGACATTATAAGCCAATATCAAAGTCAAACTCAAAAGAAAATACAAACATTCAAATCAGGTATGACAATGATCTCTTACAATTTTAGATGTCATACTTCCAGGAAAACAAATTCCAATGTGTATTTGGATTTTACAGTATCTATGCTAACTGAAAATGTAACAAAGTAGTTGGATGGAATTATGTGGAGTATTGCAAATCTGTTCATTCAACATTTTTGAGCACCCACCATGGCATAGCACTGTGCTAACATTTTAAAAGTTGAGTATTAATGTCTGTATCAAGCATTACCTTAGTGTGAGGTAAAAATATATTAAATTAGCGTCAACTCATGAGTTTGCCTGTGGTAATGTATGTGACCTGTGCCAGTCGGCTTCCTGGGCCATGTAACAAGCTTCCGCACCCCTCACTCACTCACACCAACACCTGCACACTGGTGGTGTGCTGGGCGATGTGCTTAGTCACTGCCATACAATGACTGGGCATATGTTCAATCATCAATCTATGCAGGACAACTAAAAAGGTACATTTTTCTAAAATGAGGTCCAAAGCAAAGTGTTTCTGTTGGTCATACCACACCAGAGACCAGTAAGTGCCTTTACTGACTGAGTACTATCTTTGAAAGTTTCATGTTGTAATCTAAAAAGAGCCTAGATTATTTTTGGTCTCGTAAGTCTATTCTTTGGAACACTGGACCTCACATAAACCATTCTATACTTAAATGGGTTTGTAAACTAAACCTGCACATAAAAAGAACCAAAAATGAAGGCAGTTTATAATGTATTTCAAACACTATTCTGGCCATGTAAAACAAATATGTAAGTAATTCATGATTGGTTCACACATTTTCAAAGCACTAACCCTACCCTGAACTCATATAATTCTAACTTGCCTTTTATATAAGTTGCACATAATGCAGAGGGCAGAATTTGGCCCTGAAACCTTCTGTGGAATATTACAAGGGATTGGTCCTTCCACTCCAAGTAGAATGTGAGAATTCTGAGTCTCTTATTAGGATACTGGCATTCAGGAGAAATGGCCCTGCTGGATCCCATCAGCAAGGATTCTTTTTAGCTGCTGTAGCAGTGTGAACCTACTATGACCCCTTGGGGAAAGCAGAGAGCTGGGAGTCTGTCCACTGAGTGAATCCAAAACTGGCTTAAAGCTATGCACTGAATAAAGTGCTCTGCACATCCTGCTTTTCATCTGAAATGAAAATACACACTATCTTAAGAATTAGCCTACTTGTAAGTCTGGGGAAGAGAATGACAAGAGTTGAAAGAATCCCAAGAAAAAAGTATGAAGCACTGACTGGGAAGAAAGACAAATGCCTCTAGTAGTGTTCTCAGAATTCTCAGGATTTGAAATGTCAGAATGAGTCGTACAATGGTCATGTTCCATAAATGAAAACGCAATCCACTGGGTACTATTCACATGGTGCATGATTACTTCATAGGGGTGGAAGGGAACAGTCTACTGCCATTTGAGAGTATGGTTTCAGAATGAAAACAGAATCACTGGACACATCAGGGTAAGCAGTGTGTAACATTCCTCTCCTGTCCATCACCGTTCCACAGGTTGATGTGCACTGCCTGAGAGAAAGGAGGCAAGCTACCTATCCCTTCTGATACAGGCACGGCTACTACTACCTCAAATTGCCAATTCAGAAGTTAACCACACAAGCCCTCCAGTTTCGTACCCTGAATATGGTAAATAAGAGTAGGAATGGAGTAGTTCAGTCTAAAAAAGATCACAGGAAACAGAATGCTTATATAAACTAGACTGTTTTTGACACCTGTAAGAAAACTGTATAGATGGCAACTGGAGGAAAAAAAAAAAAAAAAAAGATTGTTCCCATATGTCAGCAAAACTGTTGAGCTATACTCAGCTGAAGTCCTCATCGGGATTCTGTTGATCCAGCAGACGGACATGTGTGAATGGGAAGTGACCTCGTTTGCCATTACACTCCCCTTCCCACTGACCACTCACATTAATCTTCGTAACCTTTACCAGCTCACCGACCTGCAGGAGGAGAATAAGGAGAGCACTTTATTTCCAATTAAGAATGCAAGCTGAAAATCTCCATTCTCTGGTTAGGCATACCCTGCCCATGTGATTATTCTAGGGCTGATGATACAGAAATGACTACTACCTCCCCAGCCCCAGCCACCATACGGTTACTTGTGGTTAATGCAGGCAGAAGGAAAAGGTGCTTTTAGCAGTAGAGAAAAACACAGAGAACACAAGAAGTCAAAGAATCCTAGAAAATGATACTTTTTGCAAACCTCACATGTCTCTGGATAAGTAATCCCAACCTAGGAGAGCTATTATCCACCATCCTCAGCTATGTCTGCCCTACAGGCTCTGGCTTAGGAGATGAACCCCTGACCCCTCCTTGGCATACACAGCAGCAGGCAAACACAATACATATGGCCCAAAAACATGAAGTGTTCTGATCACCTCCTGACCAAGGCAAGCCTTTTCTTACTCAGGCAGATAAAGACCAAAACTCCAAATCCTTTTAGTTTCAAACCCTGCAAACCTGTACCTTCTCTCACATCTACTAACAGACCTTGTGGCTCCCTCAATACCACGTGGCATATATCATTATTCAATAAAGGGATGAAAAAAAAAATCAATTATCGTATCTCACTGACAAACTATCAACCAGCTATCACTGCTTCCATTTATAAAAAGTCTCTTGTTGTGACATCAAATGCAATAGTTTTAACAATATAGGATATGGGCTGGAGGTGTGGCTGAGGTGGTAGAGCGCCTGCCTAGAAAGCCTGAAGCCCTGAGTTTAACCCCAGTACCACAAAAACAAAAAAAAAAAAAACCCCTATCTTGCAATTAAATTTAAGATGAGGTCAGTGTGATGAATGGATTCACCAATGCTATGGTAAAATATTGAACTATGGTGAGATTAAGTTTCACATATTACTGGACTAAAGAATTCCATGACTATCCCTGAATTATCAACATTTGAGTTCTGGCACATAAATGGCTTCTAAGCATAACTTTATTTGGCATTATTAAATTAATAACTGCTATTAATCACATTTTATATGGTATTTTATAGAAATTACTTTCTAATCCTTGTAACTCTGCAAGATAGGAGCCTCCTTTAGAGTTAAGAAAATGAATGGGCTAGAGGTGTGCCCATCAAGTGTGAAGTCCTGACTTCTAACCTTATTATCACCATAAAAAAAAAGTACTGGTTGGAGCATGCTTCAACTAATAGCGCACTTGCCTAGCGAACACAAGGCCCTGAGTTCAAACCCAAGTATCACTAAAAAAAAAAAAAATCCCCTAAAACAAACATACAAACAATTTCCCCAAAACAAAAGAAAAGGCTGGGGGGCATGGCTCAAGTGGTAAAGTGCCTGCCTAGCAAGTGTATGGTCCTAGTACTGCAAGAAGAAAAAAAGAAAAAAAATTTCAGGGCAATTACTTGATATAACCCAATTTACACAGCCAAAAAAATATGCTCTAGGAGCCTCTGATTCCCTATGAACATTTCTAGGCCACATGCTGGGAAAAGCCAAGTCCAGGTCAAGGGCCTCCTCTAAAACCAGTCTGATCTCACTCAAAGGAAACAGCTCGCCTACTGGCCTGTAGTTAATTTCCTAAGGAACTATACGAAAACCACAGAGGTCTAAAGTTAGTGTGTGGGTCACAGGATGCTGAGAAAGAGAGGAAAGAAAGGAATAATGGAGATAAGGGATAAAATATGGAGGGTTAGGGGCTTGGTTGAAACTCAGTGACAGAACACATGCCTAGTAAGCTTGTGAGCCCTGGGTTCAATCTTCAGCACCAAATAAGAAAAAAGACAAAAAAAAAAAAAAAAAAGATACAGAGGATAAGAAAAAGCAGCAGCTCTGTCAATATTGTGAAGACTGAGACTGTAAAAAGAGAGAGGACAATATAGTATGCTCATCCTTGTATGAAGAGCCAGACCCTATAGGTTGCTAGTACCAAGGTTCTGATCATTCCTAGCAATTTTCCAACTCAAAGTTGCTCACATACGGACTGAAGATGTGGTTCAAGAGGAAGAATGCCTGCTTTGCAATTGTGAAGCTCTGGGTTCAAACACCAATACCACTGGGAAAAAAAAAAAAAAAAAGGAAAAAAATGCCCCTGACATCCAACAATGATAACCAAATATTTTCATAGTTTTTGGGGACAAAGACACCAAAATGAAATTTTGCTTGCTAGTAAAAATAACCTAAAGCAGGGGGTATAGCTCAAGGACTGACCACTTGCCTAGCAGGTAGGTGGCCCCAGGTTTGATCCCCAGAACTGAGAACTAATCCCCAGAACTAATCTTCAACTCGAGTTCTCAGAAGTTATCTCTCAATTGCACGCTTCATTTAAAAAAATCTTGCATTCATGCTGGGCAATAGTGGCTCAAACCTATAATCCTAGCTACTCAGGAGGCAGAGATCAGGAGATAGAGGTTTGAAGCCAGCCCTGGGCAAATAGTTTGTGAGATCCCATCTGGAAAAAAACTCATCACAAAAAAGGGCTGGTAGAGTAGCTCAAGGTGAAGGCCCTGAATTCAAACTCTAGTACTGCAAAAACAAACAAAAAAAAAAACCCTTGCATCCAGGCTGGAGGCATGGCTCAAGTGGTAGAATGCCAGATTTGCAAGCATGAAGTTGAATTCAAACCCCAGTCCCACCAAAAAAATAAAAGGGCTGGACACTGGTGGGTCACACCTATAATCCTAGCTACTTGGGAGGCTGAGATAGGAAAGATCGGGTTTGAGGCCAGCCTAGGCAAATAGTTTGTGAGACTCTATCTCTAAAATAACCAGAACAAAATGGACTGGAGGCTTGGCTCAAGTGGTAGAGCGCCCACTTTGTGGATGCCTGCTTTGCATGAAGCCCTGGGTTCAAACCCCAGTTTCATCAGAAAACAACAACAACAACAACAACAACAACTTACATAGCTGAGGATATAGCTTTGTGCTACAGCATGTGCTTAGCATGTGCAAGGCCCTTAGTTCCATTCCTGGCACATTCCTGGTTCCATGAGGGAACACTATCAAGGGCTAGAAATGTTCTATTTTCATCTGGGTGCATGTAAACTCATACTGTATACCAAAGTTTAGTATATGTAACCAAATGGTTTGTTTTGTGTGTGGTATTGGGGTTTGCACTCAGGGCCTTACACTTCTTAGGCAGGTGCTCTACCACTTAAGCCACTCTGCCAACCCTGTTTTGTATTGGGTATTTTCAAGATAGGGTTTCAAGAACTATTTGCCTAGGGTTGGCTTCGAAACGATATCTTCATCTCTGTCTCCTGAGTAGCTACCTAGCACCAAATGATTTTATACCTCAATAAAAAAGTGGAAAAATAGGCCAGATGTGTTGGAACACGTCTGTAATCCCAATACCTGGGAGGTGCAAGCAGGATTGACAGCCAGCCTGAACTGTATTTGGAGACCCTGTCTCAAAACAAACAACTAGGGGGAAAAAGGATGTTTGTTAGTATCTTATTCAGCTTTTGTAGGTATTTTGTAGAAAAGTCTTTAGTTCACCATTCCAACTAATACCAAAATCTAGGTATAAATGCCATCTTAAGCATTCAAAGTGCAATCACAAGTCACATTTCACAGAACTATAAAAAAGTCAAAGGGTCATTGAAAAGAGGACCAGACTGTACCTTGCTGTTGTTACCAGAAACACAGAACTATACAAGCTTCTCAAGAAATAGAGCAAAAAAAATCCCATCTGCCACCCGGCCTTCTCTCTTTTACAGTTCCAAGAAATGGGTAGGGGTTCCAATAGGCAAGAAATTACTAGGTGGCTGAATTATGTGTAAATTAAACTGTTGGACAATGTTCAAGTCATCTTTAGTGTACAGATTCTCTTGGTTCTACCCTACAGAGAAAAAGTTCAGGAAAACCATACCTTACTTTGTGTTTTGTTTTTATTTTGAGTTTCTGAGATAGGGTATGGCTGTGAAGCCCAGGCTGGTCTTGAACTTCTGATCCTTTTGTCTCACCTTCCTAAGTGCTCGGATTACAGATGTGCATCACCATACCCAGTCAAACCATACCTCATTCTGCAATCCAAACCCTCTTCCCCTTTTTTTCAGGTTATAATGGAGTTTCAACTCAAGAGCCTTGCACTTACTTGGCAGGTACTCTACCACTTGAGTCTCTGTCACCCCCAAAATCTTTTGTACCAGTTGATTAAGTTCTTGGCACTCAAATCTAAACATGAGAGGGTATAAGAAAGGCCATGCCGAGACTGAAATGAATTTTTTTCTTTTTTGTGGTATTGAGGCTTACAAGGTGTTAGGCTTGCTAGGCAGGTGGCTCTGCCACTTAAGCCACTCCACCAGCCCATGATTCTAATTTTTAAAAGGACACAAGAATGCTCAAAGTGGCCCTGAAGTATAAACACTTCAAGGAAGATCCTGCTAAAACTAAATAATCCTTTGTGTACTATGGGATCTTTCTCCTGAAATAGTCAAAGCACTCTGGGGACTCTGGGGTCAAGGACAAGTTCCAAAGGCAACATGATTACACTTACAATTGATAGCTTCCAGTGATGCCACATGAGATGTTAGCTTTTCAAGAGCGTGGAAGAACAGGTACAGGTGGCTCACCTTGTAATCCTAACTACATAAGATGCTGAGATAGAGAGGATTTCAGTTTGAGGCTAGCCTAGGTAAAAAAGTTTGCAAGACTCCACCTCAACCAATAGCTGAGGCAGTGGCATGAGGTTGTTATTCCAAGTTATGTGGAACACCAAGATTGGGAAGATCATGGTTCCAGGCCAGCCTGGGCAAAAACGTTTGGGAGACCAATTTTGACAGAAAAAAACTGGCTGTGGTGGCACATCCCAGCTATGTCATCCCAGCTGTCATCCCAGCTATGGTGGGAAGTATAAAATATAAGAATATTGTGATCCAGCCCATCTTGGGCAAAAAGTGAGAACCCAATGTCCAAAATAACTACAGCAAAAAGAGCTGGAGGCATGGCTCAAGTGGTAAACCCCAGACTAAGC